TCTCTCTCTCTCTCTCTCTCTCTCTCTCTCTCTCTCTCTCTCTCTCTCTCTCTCTCTCTCTCTCTCTCTCTCTCTCTCTCTCTCTCTCTTTTGATGGGTTACATTTTAGACTAGCATACACGTACCAGGACAAGCATCTTAATGGCTCTCGTCCTCAGCGTGCGTCGCTTGATCATGTCGTGTACTCGACCAGGAGTTCCTGACACAACATGCACCCCATACTCCAGCTTTCGGATATCTTCCCCAATGCTCTTCCCACCTACGCACGCATGTGCTTGAACGTTCATATAGTCTCCCATGGCCAATATAACCTTCTCTGTCTGCTGCGCAAGTTCTCTCGTCGGCGAGAGAATGAGTGCCTGAACCCTGCATCATAAAGATATAAAGGAGACGTCAACGCAAACTTCTCCTTTCAGTACAACTCGCACCAACCAACCAATCGCAGAACACAATCAATCCATAAATTGCCAACTACCCACTCTGTCCATGTCCATGTTCTTGGGCCACAAACTTACCCAAGGGCTTTCCTGGACGTATCATTCCAAGAAGTCAGCCAGATTCATTTCAAGAAGTCCGCCGGTGAGTAGGCCCTTCTTAAACTCGGACACAGACATATCCTTCATGGCAACTAGAAACACACCTAACACAGATTGCGCATGGCGCTCTGCATATAAAGTTTTTTTTTTTTTTTTTAAATAACAAAACGGGTCCTTATGGTCCTGAGTATTCATAATTCAAACACCCCAATATAATAAAAACACATCAGCATATAAAGGGGTATTACTGTATAAGCACTAAGAACCCCCCCTCAGTGAATAAACTGATCACAAAAGATACTACACTTTACCTTGGCCAAAAGGCCGAGAAAGGTATATCTTCAGGGAAATAAACACCTCAGCACATGTAGGGTACTATATCCTTCAGTAAATATACTTAAATATACTTAAAGAATCAAATACAGGGGAAATTTCCGCGATGCCCCTCAACGATGCGTTGATGGTTGAGGGAAATTTTCGAACTGCCCTGTGAACCGAGGCAGAGAGGGAGACAGAAGACGGCAAACGAGCGGCGGATGTGAAAGAAAAAAACGGTAAAAGGCAACAACAAGAAGCAAGAGAGAACCAGAAACCGAAAGGGAAAGAAGGGAGGAGGGAGTAAATGACTGTCATCCTTGCCCCTCAAGAGCCCAAAAGAAAGACACAGGAAATCAACAATCATAGCAGCCGTCTTTCTTTTTTCTTTGCCGCAATGGGGAGCGAGAGAGAAGAGGGTGGCGGGTGCATCGCCATCACTACGGCCTCTCTCTCTCTCTCTCTCTCTCTCTCTCTCTCTCTCTCTCTCTCTCTCTCTCACGCACACACACACACAGAGAAACACCTTCCTTTCTCCCTCCCCTCTGCTACCTTCCGTCCCCGCGCCTCCCCCCATTCTTGTCCATCTCTGACATGTCCTCCATACCCCGACCTCGCCTCTCTGTCTCACACAGAAAACACACTCACCTAACCAGGTGATCCCTGTCCAGTCCCCTTAATGGCTGTCCCTTCCAGTGGGGAGCATATTTGCGAGAAGTACGGGTAGGTATTTTCCATATTTACTGAACGATTAGCATCAAACTTGTCAATGCTTAAAACAGATCAGGATGGGAGGATCCATCAAGGATCGGTCAGTCGATTTCCATCAGCGATGCTGAGCGGGGGTAAGCGCACCGGTAGGTGTATGTCCTAAGATCTCCTCACCCTACCGTGCTCTGCAGTTATTTCTAGAAAAAATATTATAAATAAATCTAAATAAATTGACCATACGACTCCACCGAATGACATCGGCTGCCATCAGAGTAACCAAAATAGTGAAGTCGATAAAGATCAAAGTGTGATCAAAACATGTTTTTGTCAAAAAAAACATTTTTTGTCAAAAAATACCCAAAAGATGAGAATAAGAGATCGAGAGAAGACGAAAGAGAGAGAGAGAGAGACGGAGAGAAAAAAAGAAGAGAGAGAGAGAGAGACAGTGACGAAGGGAGGGGGGAAGAGAGGGAGAGAGGGAGATGACGAAGACAAATACGTGGTTCCATTGTTAAACTGATAAAACAGCGATAAATATATCCATAGATATACCGATATAAGGAATAAAAAAGAACATATATCAATTAATTATTAAGAAAAAGAAGAAGAAAGAGGAGAAGAAGAAGAAGAAGAAGATCTATGGAGATCAAGCGATCGATCCATCAACAGATACAGATATCGATACCAAAATTGGTCAACAGAACAATGGAGCCGTTGGTGAAAGAATAGCCGAAAGATTATTGAAAACCTCAGATTGGTGGGGGAAGGGGGGGGAAGGGGGGGGGGGCCGCGGGAGGGAGGAAGAGAACTCAAATTGACCAACGGGGCTAGCGCAATTTGTGTAGCTGATGAAATACAAACCTGCGATCAAATCCCAGTGGAATCAGATCAGTGAAATCACTCGGAATTTACCTGAAAATAAAAAACTCGGATTGATAAAAGACCTTACGAGATTGGAAAAACACGAACACGGTCGCGGAGACATTCCCGAAGAGATACAGAGAGAGACGGGCGGCGGGGGGGGGAAAGGAGGGGGGGGAAGGTGAAAGGAGGAGGGGAAGGGGGAAGGTAGACGGATACAGATCGAGCGGTCGCACTGGACCCTATTGATAAACCACAGACCCTCTAGATGTCACATTTAAGCCGGCTCAACTAAGTCACGGCCGTAGAGGCCAAGTTCCACGTTGTAGCTATAGTTGAAGCACGAATATAAATCTCTTTTTTTCCGGTGTTCTTGATGAGTTCCTTTCTCTTCTGATTTCGCACAATTTTTATTCATTTTCATTTTCAGTATTTGCAAGTCTCTTACAAAAGCCCCTGGAGTTATTGTCTCCGTTAGAATTGAAAAAACTCGTGATTTGTTTATTACTCACAGCTACAAGTGTGCAGCTGATCTGCGTTCCTCGCTGAGAATCGCTCTCTTGGATTCTGACATGATTTTTTTTTTCCTTCATTTTTCTTCCTCTTTTTTTTTCTTTTTTTCTTTTTTTTCGTTTTTTTCCTTTTCTTTTTTTTTTTCCCCTTTTCCTCACATGCATTGGGTGGTAAGCGAGTATTCATGATATTGCTCCCTTTTTTATGGAAATGCAGAGAGACAGAGAGGAGAGAGAGGGATGAGGGAGGAGCGAGGAGGGAGGGAGGGAGGGGGAGAGAGAAAGAGACGAGGAGGGGTGTGAACGGCAGCGGGAGGGAGGGAGAGCGGCAGACTAGGAGAGAGAGGCGCGATGAGAGACAGAGGGCGTAACTGAGAGGGAGAGGATCTAAACTCACCTCACCCGCATCAGAAAAGAGCCACATGAGAGCAGAGAATTTTTTTATTATATACTCTATCAAATATACACGGGAGCTGAATAAACGCGCCAGGTAGTCTCCAAAAAACCTCAGGAGTCCCGTTCATTCCACCTACTTGTATACGTCGTACGATGATAATTATAAAAAAAAAGGTAAAGAAAAACAACATACTATGATACTACAGTCAAGTTAAAAAGCGCTCATAATATTATATACCATATTATTAACATTATGTTTTACAGAAAATTACATTACATATATAGTACGGGAGAACGGTATAATATTCTTGAACGTAATAAAATAAATACAGATACCACGAACAACGAGAACGATCTCCTTGCAATCATGCAGGATTCTTGGACTGAGAAAAACCCTGTTTTTCCAAGCCACCACCTTTTTTCTGTGTTTTTTTCCCTTTTTTGTAGGGGGGAGGGGGGGCGCGATGGATTTCCCATTTTCTTCCGTACTCCTTCCCCCCCCCCAAAAAAAAAATCCGTTTTTCTTCTCTCGTCTTTACCATACTTCCACCACAAGCACGAAACGAATCAATCCACCGATCCACCCATCAGTCAGTGAATGAATGAAGTTCAATTAACATCCTTTTTTATTTTTAACTCCAGATTATATACAACATATTTTCCTAGAAGCCAAAGACGCAGTGACAATACCTTTCTCGGCCTTTTGGCTAAGATCAAGTGCACTGTATCTGTTATGATCAGTTTAATATTTTATCCGTGGTCCATCGGGCCTCTAAAAAAAAAAAAAAAAAACGCAATGACGAGCAAGAGGCGACGCCGGGAGGGGGGGGGGGGGGAGAAAAAAAAAGCACGTGCAAAACAAACACCACAAAAAAAAAAAAAAAAAAAAAAAAAAAAAAAAAAA